AAGGGCAACAAATTCTCAACCGTTTCTACTTGAGAAGACAGCATAGCAAAGTGGTCAAAAAAAAACCGCCAGCGCCAGCTCTGGAGGCAGACAGTCTGGAGCCTGCACCTCAACCTTCCTGAAGGTAAGGTTCGAACTTTCCAAAGCTCAGCTTCCCTGGCTGTCACACAGAGGAAAGGGTTGGCTGCCTTGAGCATCAAAGGGGCTGGAACGGGGGGGAGATGGCATTCAGAAGGAGCCCAGGAGTGAGAGCCATCCATGACAGCGAAGGCGATGAGGTTAAGTCCCACACCATCAGCTCAAGCGCCGCCGCTGCCTCAAGCGCCGCCGCCGCCGCCTCAACTCTCCATTCCTGATCAGTGAAGAGAATGGGAGGTGAGAAATCAACCCGCTTCAATGTCATGTTCCACAGGTGTGGGAAGCAGGAACTGCCAGCACGGAGCACCTAGAACCCGAGCCTGGCTTTCCCACACGGTTTACACAATGCCTTCTGGTCTCGGGCCCCGCCCCTGCGTTGAATAGAGGGTCTCCTAGCTTGAACTAGTGTGTACGGCTGTGACATGACCACCAGCCTCAGAACCTGCCTGCCCCACATGCAGAAGTGGAGACAGTTTCCTTTGCAATGCATGCTCGGTGACATTTCAAAGGGCATCGATCAAACCAGTCGGAAAAGCATGGGGAGTTGCCAAAGCCGCTCAGGGCAAGACCCCCACCCCTCTATCTCGTATGGGGGAAGGGACAAGGCCGAGTTCAGAGCAGGGCATAGACACAACTTGGCCAACATACTTGTCCTTTCACCTGGCAGTTGTCCAGCCCCCAAATAGCCTGTGTGTCTAGTCCAAAAATAAATCACATGAGAGGCGAAATAAAAGTGCATGGGCTCTTGGCCTTGGCCTTCTGTAGCCATACTAGTACCAGGCTGGAGAGGGTGGCCCTGAGACCCCTTTCTGCTGCCTTCCTCCCAGGGTCCCCAGGCCAGGAAGCCACCTGTTAAGTGGCCAGAGGGGTGTGTGGTTTCACCCAGCCTTTCCCTTGGGGGTCCCCTTGGCTCCATTCACACCAGAGAGAGCAGAGGAGAGGACAACAGCCTCCCGGGGGATAAAGGCATCGCCTGCCTCCTTTTCTGGATGGACACTCCCTTCTCCTGGTGAATGGAAACTCCCTTTCTCAGCAGCCTGCTTGCAGCGTCCTGGGAGCCCAGTGTGATCTCAGCGGCTGCCACCACCCCAGAAGGAAAGGCTCCCACAACAGAGACAGAGGTGAGTGCCTGTGCTCCTGCTCCTCGCCTCCCACTTGTTCCTTCCTCACCCTCCCCACCACACACACACACACACACACACACACACACACACACACACACACACACACACACACACTCCCAGATCTGGATCTGGGTCAAAGACAGGCTGGAGTCTGCAAAGATTCCTGCCTCTCATTCAGAGGCAAATTCATGCCTCCCCCCTGCCCCCACCCACCCCAGAAAGAACTATGTAGGACTAGTTCTTAGCCGGGAAGCAGGAAATGATTCCTACCCAGTGAATTATCTCTGCTTAGATCCAAGAAGAGGTTACCAGGAAATTGTAGACGGCCCAAATCCCATCACCATAAAGTTAATGCTCTCTAAAACACACAGCACAGAACAGGAAATCAAAGAAACGCAGCTGATCTTCCCTTAATGGGCAAAAAGGAAAACAAAAAACAAAACCAAGGCTTGCAAAGCTTCCGTTTCTTGCTCCTCCCTGGTGTTCCAGGGTCCTGCAAAATAGACTTAATAGACTCAATAACTCCTTACTTTAAGAAAAGGGGGAATGAAATAAAGAACTTGGGGAGAGTTACAGGATAAGTAGAGTAGGGAGAAGGAGAAGAGTGTTTGCATCTTGGTCTAGCCTTCTGTATCCCTGAGCCATACCACATGGATATATGCCCATTTGAGGATGTGCACAGGGGTCACTATCCCTAGCATGTGGGTTCTGCCACAGACACCCTGGGCAATGGCTTGCATATATCCTTGCTAAGAAGATATCAACAAAACCCTGACAGGAGCCGTCTACTTACACGAATCTGGATTCTTTAACGATCACAGTCTAAACCAAGAGTGAAGAGACTTAGGCAGAACGATTGTATATTCTTCCCTCCTGTTGAAAGCCACGGCTTTGGTATGGTGGCTCCAGGTGGGAAGGTGATGGTATCCTGAATCCTTCTCTCTCCATCCTTTGCCTTTGGCTCCCTGTCATGTTCTGTTCCCAGAAGGACTCGCTGTGATGGTGGCAGTGTGGCTGCCAGCAACTCAGCCAACATCCCGCTGACATACGGCTCCAGCTGGTCTTAGACCTGCACCTCACAGGACCAATGTGGAAAGGAGTGCTTCTATCTTCTATCGCTGCCATGGGGCAGGGGGGGGGTCAGCTTCTCCAACACACCTTGATTGACAGCCATGAGGGTGGTTCCCCAAAGGCAATCAAAATGTTTCCCCCCAGAGAAGACAGCTGGTGTATGGCTCTTTCAGTGACGGCAACTTCGGTCTCCCTCTTTCACTCATCCGTGTTATTGATAAGAAGTTTCAGAGGAAGACTAACTATTGGGAGAACAGGTCACTAAAAGATGCCTGGCTTGTCATCCCCAGAGACCCCTGGCAGTGAGGAAGGTGCTAACATCAGAAAGCTGATTCCGGCTCAGGTCTAGAGTGGTCCCACGTCCTGACTCACTGTCTGTGTCACACCTGGTGCTCCCCTCCACTCCCCTCCTCCCAGATCCCTTCACTCTACTGATTGAAGTCATCTTGCCTTGCGACTGCCAGCCTCAGAGTACTGCTTCCCCTGTGGCCTTGTCCAGCCCTTCCAGACACTTCGGCCGTCTCTCTTCTCTGAACCCGAATGGCATTATCAGGACTGTTATTTGTTTATGTATTCTCTAAGAACTCCATGAGAAGCTGGACATGGTGGTGTATGCCTTTAATCCCAGCACTTGGGAGGCAGAGGCAGGCAGATCTCTGAGTTCAAGGTCAGCTTGGTTTATAGAATGAGTTCCAGGACAGCCAGGGCTACAAACAGAGAAACCCTGTCTCAAAACAAACAAATAAAAACTTCCTAATTCTTAGTTTCTTTCCCACCTGAATTTTGCACCCTTGTGGGAAAAGGTAAGTTTTTTTCCCAGCCCACTTTGTAGAATCTGACACATAACTGGGGTCCAATTAAGTGAGTTCAACTAATTGACCAACAGGAAATTAGCCTGCTCATGGGCCTAATTCTGACTTTAAAGGTAATATAACTCCAGCAAGTTTTGGTGGAGCTCAGAATGCATGTGGAGAGAGACCCTACAGCACCATCCCATGTAGTCTTCACAGTAAATCCAGCCACCAGGCATGCCCTGCTACTACACCATTTCAGGTGGGGAGGTACATGCCCTCGGTCATGTAGCCAGTAAGTGGTGATGTTGGGGTGTACCCCAGGCATGCCTGCCATCTCATTTCCTGTTCCATTTAACGTGCAGACGCCTCTCAATGGCATCTCCTGGTGCCTGCTTTTAAAGCCCAAGAGACCCAAGGAGGCTGGCAGAACGTGTAGGGCTCCCAGATGTTTCAGACACCTCCCTGTCACCGGACACCTCTGCAGGAGGCCTTATTGGATTTGACCCCTTTCAGAAGGTCAAGGGATCATGGACTTCATGAAGGGAGGTACTCTGGGGCTCTGTGGAGAACAAGGTGCTTCACAGTGAAGGTGGCCAGGGTGATCACCCCAAGAACTAGTTAGAAGAGAGGCTTTAGAACTCAAGCTTGCCCCTCTGGGCACGGATCGCTAGATGTGACCCCACCCTTTCTCCTGCCCCTACCTTGCCCAGCATGGCCAAGCAGAAAAAGGCTAGGCTTTTCTCTAGGGGATCGTCTCCAGGATTTAAGAGGTGACCATATTCTAATCTCAAGGGAAACCACATCTTGAGTAAATGATGACTAATTATACCATCCATGCTCTCAAGTCACAAGCTATGGATAGACTTCTGAGCTGAAGTAGGTTGCTTGGGTGCCGACAAAACCCTCCATCTAGGAGCACACACTAGTCTATTCATATGGACTTGACCTTCCAAAGAGTAGAGTCCATTTGACTTCTGCCATTTATCTCCACATTGCCCTGGGAGGGTCACAAGAATATTGCCACCTTCCTTCTAGGGACGACATAACTCCCCTTGGACACTGAGACTGAGGCAAGTCCCAGGATCACCCAAAAGGTTCCAATGGAATGGAAGCACTCTGAGGGATTTTGTATCCAAGCTGGCCTGCTTCTTCATAAGATTATAATGCAGGGGCACATATACACACATACATGTACACAGTACATGCTTATACAACAGTGCGTGCTTTGAGCGCCACTCCTCTGAGCATCTGAATTCTTTAGGTTAATACTGAAGAGAAAGACCTCTGCAGGCTGGAGAGATGGCTCAGTGGTTAAGAGAACTTGCTGCTCTTGCAGAGGTCCTGGGTTCAGTTCCCAGCATCTATATCAGCTATCTGTAACTATAGCTCAGTGGGATTAGAAGCTGTCTTCTGCACCTACATGTATGTGGTGCACATACACATACTCAGGCATACACACACACACACACACACACACACACACACACACACACACACACTAAACATTTTAAAAACACTGCATATCTTCATAGTTTTCTATCATTATTTGTAATATATAGCCCTAAATATTTATCAGCTGATGGATGGGATAAAAATGTGGTGTATCTATACAATGAAACATTCAACGGTAAAATTTAGAAATAAATTTTTATGCACACTACAATATGATTGAAAACTGAAGATATGCTAAGGGGAAATCCTACTTACTGAATGATTATACTTATACAAAATGGCCAGGACAGGGAGTCTTTAAGACAGAAAGTAGATCTATGGATGTCTAGACCTGGCAGGAGGGGGAAATGTCAGCTGACCACTCAGAGGCACAGAGCTTCTTCTGAAGTGACAAAAAATATTCTAAAGTGACCGTACTTACGGCTCCATAGATTCAAGAATGCACTGAGACCACTATGTTGGACACGTGATCCGTAGTTCATATGAGTTATATCTGAATAAAACTGTAAAGAAATGGTTTTAGTTGGGGTTTCCATTTCTACGAGAAAACACCATGACCAAAAGCACCTGGGGGAGGAAAAGGTTTACGTCGGCTTGCAGTTTCACATCACAGTCCATCACTGAGGGAAGTCAGGGCAGGAGCTGGAGCAGAAGCCATGGAGGAATTCTGCTACTGGATTTCTCTCTGTGGCTTGCCGGGACTGCCTTCTAAAACAACCCAGGGCCGCCTGCTCAGAGGCGGCATCACCCACACCAATCATTAACTTAAAAAAAAAAAAGTTCTGCGTTGCCAACAAGCATCCTGAATGAATACATTTTCTCTACTGAGGTTCTTTTTCCCAGAAAACTCTAGCTTGTGTCAAGTTGAAAAACAAAACAAAACAACCAGAAAACCAAAACCAGCCAGCACAGAAATTCAGTGGGATCTTAACCCAGTGACAGGGGTTGGTTGAAGGTACCGTCTTACTGTGAGCTGTAAGCTCAGGTCTCTCCCACAAAGTGTGGGCACAGACCAATGAGAAGATCACAGATGGAAGAGAGGGGGTCCAGGGGCTTGCCCCGCTTCCCTGCACAGGTCCAGTTAAAGGCTGTGTTGTTTGCATGCTTTTCTTTCCTCCTGGATTTCAGATCCTATTATGCTAAGGGGAAAAGCCTCTGTAAACATTCACTGTCTGTCAATTCATCTCATTAATGTGTTACCGTAGTGCTTACCTGGGATGTTCCCCTCAGGTCTACCATCTTTTACATTTAAGCCTCTGGTTCATTTAAATAGTAGACTGGGGGTCCAGATAGGTTTGTTTGCTTTGCCAAATAGTAAGACAGTTACCAAACCAGGTGTTCTTACCTTGGGACTAAACTGGACTTGGGGCCTCTTGTTTCTGAAATGAAATATAAAAAGGTGTGCGTGAGTAAACACACTTGCTCTTCTGGGGAAGGGGGTCATACTTTTGTCAGATTTTCAAGGGCCTTGAGACTGTTTAGATTTCACAGCCCCCTATGGGCCAGAGTGCAGGGCTATGAGCACCAAGGCTGCCTGGCAGCCAGCAGCCCAGCCTGGCTGCTCTAGCCACATTTAGCACCCCTGGTGAGACAGCCATGCCAGGTTTGGTTCTCAGTGTGCCAAGAACATCAGTGGCTTGCATGGGCTCCTCCTTGGACCCCTAAAACAGAAGGGTTCTCATCCCTGGCTGTCAGGTTAATGGAGTTGATAAACCACATTAGCTGACAAAACTTGGATTTTTTTTTTTTCTGTTGCAAAGACTTTGAGAAGGTTTAAGTCCAATACAGAAAAAACAAATGGCAAACAGTACCACCATTACAAAGAAAGTGCTGGGTGCCTCTGGGCAGGCTTGGCATTATGTGATGAGCAACGTGCAAATAACACCAGGAGTAGAGAGGTGTGCATGGGGTGAGCTGAGAGCCGCAGTGAGACTCGTGAGCTTGGCTTTGCTCTTGATGCCAAGGAGGGTACCAGACAGTTCTGAGCAAAGAGAGACGCAATCTGACTTACCTTTTAGCAAGATTCTTCTGGACTGGCCCATGGGGCTGAAGGAAAGAAACAGGAAGACAAGTAAAAGGGAAATTACTGAAATCAATAATCCCAGAAAGAAATACTGATGCTTGAATGAACTAGACCAACGTCCCCAAATCTCATTCTGTAGCCCAGGCTAGCCTTGAACTCCCTGTCTTCTGCTTCCACCTCCAGACTGCTGAGATGTCAGGCCTCTACAAGATCCCACAGCCCAGACAGAGGTCTGTTAGTAAACAAAAAACCAAAGAGCCCTGCAAACACACAGTAAGCGGTTTGTTAAGTACAATCATATCCATGGGCATAAAGTCATCTTCTTCCTGAGAGAGCCCATCCCACACACCTGGCCATCTTCAGGGAGGGCAGAGTCAGTGAGGCTCCCAACAAGAGCTTTTACACATCACGTGTAATCACATAGGCTGGATTTGGCAGCACAGGCCTGTAATTCTTGGCTAGTTGGGAGGACAAGGCAGAAAGACTGTCTAGACTGCATTGAGTTCAAAGCCACCCCAGACTAATGAGTGGAATTTTGTCTCAAAACATGTTAAAGGCCCTAGGATGGATTCCCTGGCACCATCTAAACTGGACATGATAGCTCACACTTTTGTAATCCCAGCACTTGGGAGGTCTAGGCAGGAGGGTCAGGAGTTCAAGATCATTCTTAGCTTACATGAGAGTTTGAGGCCAGCCTGGGATACACAAGACCTTGTCTCCAAAAAAAAAGAAAAAAGGAACTAGAAGAATCGGTGTGCATGTGTATGTGGTTTTGGTGGTGGTGGTGGTGGTGGGGGGTGTCCTATCAGAGTTGAAGCAGCCCACCTCCTGTGGGAAGGACCCTTTCCAGAGTGTCCTGCCTATAGCTACTGAAAAAAAAAATCGGCTAATGTTTTTGGGTGACAGTGAGGCAGGGCCAGGCACCCCTTTCTGTGAGCCACTGTTCCCAATGTCTGTCCTCCAGCTTTGCTGATGTGTTTGTCCTTGAGGTCGCCTCGGGTAACTAATGCAATTTCTTGAGTCTGTCTGCTGTGCTTCCCAGTCCAATTGGCAGCTGACTCACCAGGTGGCCAGGATGCCCTTGTTTAACGGCCCCAATTGGACATAAACAGGCGGAAATGCTCTGCGGCAGAGTGGCAGTCGGCATCTGATTTTGCCCGTCAGCTGATTAGGATTTGTTGGGCCCTGAACAAGGTCAAAACGAGATTAGGAAGAAAATGCCACGAGCATGACAGAGTCTCCCCGGGCGGCATCTCTCATCCGACCAGAATGAATGAGAGAGAAAGGCCGACGCAAATCTGAACTGTCAGCCGCCAGAGTCAAGGTCGAGATGCCAGGGCGGTTGTTCTGCCTGAAGAGGAAGGGAGTGTATGTCCTGGCAGTCTTCTAAACCCTGACAACCTGGGATGCTGGGCGTCCTTCGTGTCACCCAAGCTCAAGAGTGAGGGGTCCACGTCTGCTGCTCAGAAGCACTGACCAGGACATCAGCTGAGGAAAAACAAAAAGAAGGAAGAAATGCCGTCCTCTGCTTTTATGCACCTTCTAAAGCAGTGGTTCTCAACCTGTGGGCTGCAACCCCTCTGGGGATCAAACGACCCTTTCACAGGGGTCGCCTAAGACCATCAGAAAACACAGATATTTATAGTATGACTCCTAACAGTAACAAAATCACAGTTATGAATTAGTAACAAAAGTAATTTTATGGTTGGGGGGGTTCACCTCAATATGTGGAGCTGTATTAAAAGGTGGCAGCATCAGTGGCTCACAGAAGGGGGGTGCCTGGCCCCTGCCTCATTGAGAACCACTGTTCTAGAACTCTCCTAAGAGGTTTGGAGTCACTTTCTGTAACAGCAGCTGCCTGTGTGCTGGCCAAGTCTGGCTCTTAAGATTCAGAAGGAAGATGTCATCACCACCACCACCACCACCTCACTTTCTGTAACAGCAGCTGCCTGTGTGCTGGCCAAGTCTGGCTCTTAAGATTCAGAAGGAAGATGTCACCACCACCACCACCCCCACTCCCCACCCCACCCACCCCCGTTAACAGCCCCAGCACTTCAGTCTCAGATAACTCCGGGCAAGCCTGCACCTCTGTGAATAACCTTACCAGGATTTGGTCTGTCCTCAAAGATCTGCTGTTTTCTGTCTTCCTCGGGCCACGCCTCTGCAGTGGTATATGGGTTCTGTAAAAGGTCTTCCTGTGACAGAAGAGGGTTTTTAAGTGGCCTAGGAAGTTCGAGAGAAGATATGATTTCTATCACACACAGAAGGACCTACAGATTCATGGGTGCTTAATAAGTGGCTTTGACGTCTATTTTTTCCACAGACTATTTCCTGGTTCAGGGCCCAGGTCTATTCTAGGGCCAGACTTTCCTCCTAGATAATCTCACAGTCTCTTCCCACTCCAGATAATAGTTGGGCCAAGAGGCATCCGTTGTCATCATTCAGGATTTTAAAAACCCTGCGCATATTATTTCCAAGACAGGTATAGATCCTTTACACATGTTGCAGTAAATACATAAATTGAGGAATGTTAAAGTAAAAATAAAATTAAATGCCACATTAAGAGAACTATATCATAAACATACCTTAAAGAACTGAGGATCTATTTCCCAGGAATTGGACCATAATATTGCTAAACACTTACTATAGCACAGAAATTAGAATATAACAGCAATTAGGGATTGCACTGACCTAAAAGGTGGAGGGGTGTAGAGGGGTGTGATAGTGCTCACAACTGGATACAGTGGAGCAGTGAAATAAAGCAACAGCTTACACTTGTACCTTCGAGTTGAGCATGCCAGCACGTGCTTGGATACACTTGACTGTCATGGTGCTCTAGAGTATGCAGGGATATGTGAGTTGGAAATCTCATCGAGGTCCTTAGGAAAGAAGGAGTCTGAGCCTGGAAGAGCTGAGTTGTCCAGGAGTGGCCAAGAACACAGTGTGCTCAGGTTAATGAGTATTGTGCTGAGCGAGGGAGGGGGAGGTTTAGTCACATGGTGACTAGGTGGGGGTGTGACTCTGGATGGGACGCTGGGTCTCTGTCTTTTGTTCAGAAAGGGTCTTGGAGCACATCATTCCAATATTACAAAAGATCTTCTACTAGGTGATTTTGTTTCCATAGCTGGACAGTTCTCAGATCCACCGGCATGCTGGCCTGCTCCTTTTCAGACACACACATGCTCCACGGATACTGTATTATTTTTCTATTGCTGTGATAAATCACCATGTCCAAGGCAACTTATAAAAGGAAGAGGCTATTGAGGCTTACTGAGGGATGAGAGCCCATCACCATCATGGCAGCGGCTGGGGCAGCAGGCTGAGCACTCCCATCTGAAACCTCAAGCAGGAAGCACAGAGCAAGACAACTGGGAATGGTGCGTGGCTTTTGAAACCTCAAAGCCCACCCTCAGTGACATCCTTCCTCCAGCAAGGCCACATCTCCTAAGCCTGTCCAAACAGCGCCACCAACTGGGGACCAAGCATCCAAATGCCAGGGACTATGGGGGACATGCCATTCAAACCACCATAAACACCTTCTGGTTTGAACGCTCGTTCGTGTTGCGGAATCAAAGTGTAGCATCCAAAATGTACACACTGTCACTTCCGTCAAGAATTGAGGGAACAAGAAACACCTGCCCTCCTCTGAATGAATCTCAAGGGTGTATTTTTCACACCCAAAACTTTGGACTTCAACATGTAACCCATTCTCCTGAATAAGGGCATTGACGGGGCCATGCACATACACAGCACTGTGCTGGAGGGCAGATGTGCGTGGCACCCTCAGCCATGTTTTGTGTGTGACACATACGGTGGAGGAGGGGGGAAGCTGGTTCCCTTCCAGCTGGGGACCTAGCCAGCCCGTACTTCATCCATTCTTCCCAGGAAGACTGGGTTTGGTACTGATGTGATGGTGTCCCTCTGTGGGGCTTCTCTGAGAACCAATCCCCTTTGAGAGAGACCTATGGTCAGAGTCATGTGACGTCTGAGCCTCTTGCCTCGGCTCTAGGAGCTGAGCTCCTCAGGACTCCTCATTCTCAAGGCCCAGGAATGGCCCTGGATGTTCTTTCAGCCAAGAGACCTCCACCCCCACTGATAACTTTTCCGTTACCATAAGAAAGTACCTGACAGAAACAACTTATGCGAGAAAAGGTTCCCCGTGGCTAATGGTTTCAGGGACATTTCAGTCCATCAGCGGTGGAGAAGGCATGGTGCCAGGAGGGCAGAGTGGTGGCTGTTCACATGGTATGGACCAGGAAGTGGAGAGAGCTAGACCAGAGCCAGTGATAGGTACAATCTTCAGAGACCTGCTCCTACTGACCATCAATCCATCAGCCAGGCCCACTTCTTAAAGACCCTCTAGCCTTCGAAATAGGGCCACAAGCTGGAGGAGACCAAGTAAGTGTTAAAAACATGAGGGACATTTCAAAGCAAAGAAAAAAATAAATGCCAACATTAAGAGAACTATATTATAAATGGATCTTAAAGAACTGAGCATCCTTTTCCCAGGATTTGGACCATAATATTGCTAACCACTTACTGTAGCACAGAAATCAGTGTATGTCAGCAATTAGAGATTGCATTAATCTAAAAAGTGGGGGTGGGTGGGTGGAGGTTTTCTCCCCTCCCCCCATCCTGCCCTCACTGGACGCACTGCACCAGGGTGACCGCACTGATCAGGGAGAGAGACCTTGGAGTCCATTTCCAGTTCCCCCGGGTCCACGGGCCTCTCTCTATCTGAGCCAGCAGATGGGCAGGCTGGAGCCCACACACACTTGAATGCTCGCTCACGCCTCCAGGGCTGAGCTGCCTGTGGAAGGGAGGTTCTCGTTGCCAGTGATCGGAAACAATTCATCAGATGGTTTCAGTTGGTTTCTCTGATCCCTATCTTCTGAGTCTTCAAGCCAGGGTTATCGGTGCAGATGGCAACCTTCCTTCCTTCTCTGTGGTGTGAAGATGACCACTGACGAGGAACCAGGCTCACCTGAGGACTCCCCTACTCTAGCCGGGGTAGATGGGAAGTGTGGTGAGGAATGCTGGGGACACTCTCCAATGCCCCTCCCTAGTCCTAACCTGGTGGCCACTACCTTGCCTAGTTCCGTAGAATGCACTTGGTAGGACTTGGCTCTGAGAATGGTGTAGACGTATAGACAGACACCTACACCATGTGTGGGGACAGATGACCAAACAGAAAAGGGCTCCCTTTCATAGCAGCCTGATTTTTAGAGGAGTGTCTTTCAACACTACCAGTTGTTTCCCTGGTGACAGAGGCCTCAAAATAAACAGGATTCTGCTCAGACGGTAGTACACTGGGCTCGGGCTTCTGCCCCAAGACAAACCATGCTAAAATAACACCCAAGGTAGTTGCTGTCACTGTCTGCCATCTCTGCAGTCCCAGGTCTGCTGCAGACTGTCAAGAGCTAGGGGGCACTTAGAGCTTCATGGGTACTGACGCGGTGGGGTGGGGTGGGGCTGTGTGGTGGTCTGCAGGCAGTGGGGGGGGGGCCCTCTGCTGATGAACAAGGGCCAAAGGCAGACCTAGAGGCCGGCACTCTCTGCTCCCCCATCCACCTCCCTGCTTCCCACACAGCCCTCTGGGACTGGCATAGTGTCTGGAGGCGGGCCAGCAACCTGATGTGCATGCCACAGCCCGTCCGTCCCTCTCCCCACACAGAGCTGCAGTAATCCTGAGGTTCAGAGAGCCGGCTGGAACGGCAGCTTCGGCACAGGAACCGTGACACCCAGAGCAAAGGCCACCAAGCGGATCCCAGCCTCCTTGGGAACAAGTGGAGTGAGAATAGCCCCGAGCCTGACCGCCCTTCAGGTAAGAATTAGGGGTGTATGTTATAGCCAGAGCTGGGTTTGGCTGGGTTTGTCCTAGACCGTGTATAAAGTAGGAAGAGAAGAACGAGAGACAGAGAAGTGTTTTAAACAGTTAGCAGGGAGCCAGCGTGCCTGCCCGTGGATGGAATAGGCTCCCCTATGGCTGGCTTGAACTGAGGTGCAGCTGGCTCTGGAAGAAGGGCCTGCTTGAGAGTCCAGACGTGGAAAAATAACACTTGCAGGTTAGAGACTGCAAAAGTAATCCTACACCCGGCTGCCCTATCATCATCGTTCCACCAACGCCAGCCTAAGAAGACCGGCGGGGGGTGGGGACCATCTGATTGACGGAAGCCCTGGATGCCGCCTCGGAGAGCTGTGGAAGCTGAAAGCTATGACCACAGTGGGTCTGGCTGGCACTGTCTTGCTGTGTCATGCTCCGTCTACCCAACAGCCTAGGAACTCGGCTGCCTTGGAGAACCTGTGGGGAGGTTAGGCTCTTATCAGCTGCTTCATAGAAAAGCTGACGGTTTTAATGGGGGTGGACTCTGGTGCTCCCTGTCTTGTCACTCATTACCTTCTGATCCTCTTTCATAGCCGCAGGCTCCTCTCGGGATCCCTCCCTTAGGCTCCTGTAGGGACTAGTACGTACCGAAAGTGTGCGAGGCTCCTGGACAGAAGGTCTTGAGACTCTCAGACCTCTGGGTGCCCGCGTAGGAATTTCAGGTATTTAATCAAGGGCCATTCTGCAAAGACCTTGCCTCCCATCTCAGTCCTGAGAGTTCCCTGTGTCTCAGCTGAGTTTAAGCCTCCATGCTTTCTCTAGGCCATTTAGCATCCACTGTTCCTTCTCTGCCTTCCTGTCCGCTTTGGTGACCAGGACCTTTGCTTTCCCTTCCTGTGGGGATGTCATCTATGGGGCTTTAGCTCCTCATGCTGCAGTGGGGGGGAGACAGGCATCCCAAGACAGGCTGCTCTGTTCCCCTCACCCCCAGTTGCTGCCATGACTTGGCACTGTGGCAAAATGCTGAAAAGATAGCCCAGCTGGCAAAATGCTTGCCATACAAGCTTGAGGGCCTGAACTGGATCTCCAGAAGTCACTATTTTTTTGTGTGTTTGGGGGGTTTTGTTGTTGTTGTCTTTTTCAGTTGGGTTCAGTGGTGAATGCTTGAAAGCCCAGTGCCAGGGAGGTAGAGACAGGTAGTAGATCCCTAGGGCTTGCCAGTCCAGCCAGTGCAGCCTACTCACTGAGCTCCAGGTCAGCGAGAGACCCAAGCTCACACAGAACGGAAATAGGAACCAGAACACAAACATGCACAACATAGGGTGGACAGCTCCTGAGGAGGGACAGCTGAGGTCGGCCTCTGGCCTCCGC